GTCCTAAGTAGGTATCTTCCTTGATAGGGGTCAAATTTTACCTTAATTGAGCCTGTTTGTCTTTTTTGCACCTAACATACCTTTGGAATGTTGGAGTAATTCCCTATTATCCCAGACCCCTCAGGGAACAATCTCCCACCAGAGCATAAGGTTATGCTCATACCACATACCATCTCTATGTGCTATACATGTTAATTATTAAATATCCTAACCCACCAACTTAAAAAAAAAGTATTTGTCTCTTCATTTTAGTCCCTAGCCAATCACAGAAATTACTCTACCAAACCCCCCCTTTCTCCAGCCTCCTTAATCTACCACCAATGGATTTCATGTAAGTCTCCTTAAGCCTCTTCCTTTGACTGTACTGTACAAAGCAAACTACAAAACTGCTATTCTCCAGAGCATTTTCTCAATCCACTGAGACTTTGCTTCCCAGCAATTGTCATGATTTTGATTCAAATAAATTTATTAAAATTATCAAAATAATTACACACACACACACACACACACACACACACACACACACCCCCCAAAGGCTAATATGCAAAGTATACCCTTGAGAATTCAACTTGGAGATCTCTAGTTCAGTCAATTGCTATACACGCACTGACCACCAGGGGGCGGCACAGAATGAAGGAAGACACTGGCAGGCAGCTGGCAGGCAGCGAAGGCAGCCAGCCTAGGGACCCTACTCATGCACAAATTTCATTCACCGGGCCTCTAGTAATAACAATAAAATAATAAAATAATTAATTCTTAATACAAAATTTAAAAAATTTAAGGAATATCACTAACTACCCCATTACCTTAGCATATTTTTCCCTCATAGCTTATCGCTCACTGTCTGTAATTATCTTAGTAGTTTGTGTTTCGGGGTTTTATTGCCTGTGTCTTTTCCACTTCTGCACTTGCACTATACAGGCTATCTTATTAATCACCATATTACAAACACTAGAAAGGCACCTGGCCCAGAGTAGACAAATAGGGTCACTATGCTCAACCTTGCAGGCTGTGCACAGTACAACTTAAGATGAATCTTTACGTGGATTATGATTTGATGAAATCTCTTAAGAGTTTTACAAAATGACAGCACTGGAAAATCTGAAAAAATACAATGCAACAATACTTCTATTATTAAAAAGTGTAACAGTTATAGATATGCTGCTGTGGCAATATGCTGCTACTGATGTAGGCATTACTGACATATTCATATTCAGGTAGATCATCCTTTAATGGGGGTGCTATCTGTATATTGGAAGATGTTTAGCAGCATCCCTAGCCTCTACCCACTAGATGCTAGCAACACAACTCTCATTATAACAACCAAGAATGTCTCCAGACACTTGTGGATGGGACGGACGGACACACACACACACACACACACACACACACACACACACACACGCTAACCTGACTAGCTCAGGGAAGGCCTGAATGGCAGTTAACACAAAGGCTGGTCTGAAATTAAAAATTTAACTAAGAACAGTTTATAGTAGGTAGTCATATCCTAGGCCAGTATTTTCCCTGACAAAGATCAACTTCAATCTTTACTGAGTCTATCATCATTTTGCATCTAAGATAACATACTTATTAAATATCTGGGTAACTTGTAACTTCCCCTTTTCTGGACCCCTTGGGGCACAACCAAATGTGCCTGGTGGCAGAACAGAGACCATAAATTCCTTCATTGTTACTGTTATCATGTTAATTGTTGGCTGTTAACTATCCTGCATCTGCCTAAAAGAAGTATGTGTCCATCATTTTACTTTTTATCCAATCCCAGAGGTCTCCCCCACCCTCACTTTGCTTTCTCCCCCCTCCCTAATCTATCACCAATGGATTTCATGTAAAAAATGCGACACTCATTCCCCAAATAGTAATAATAATAGAATTCCCATCCCATTGTATTTATATCTGGCCACATGACTGTTTTGCCCAATGGAAGGTAAACAGATATAATATACATATGAGCAAAAACTTTAAGTGCAACCATGAAAACATATCCCAAGAAGCCTCCCTCAGCCTGAGTCCCAGAATGAAAAGACACATGGAGCTGACCTGCAAGAGACTGGCAACCTAGAGCAATTACACTTGACCTGCAGCCTTCATGGAACATGTATTATAATGCTAGAGAAGCCTAAGTAATTTAGGCCATATGGGCAGTCATACATCCCTCTCACAATCCAGGACTGCTGGATCCCAACCACTCGCCTGCCTGCCTGCCTGCCTGCCTGCCTGATTGCCACTAACCACACTCCTGCCAGCCTGATTGGCACTTAACTGCTCTGGAATATCCTCGAGTGAGGATTAACAAAAAGAAAGAAGAAGAAAGGTTAAAACAGGGAATCATTTGGAGTCTGGAATGGATTAATTGAATTTACATTATTTCTAATGGGAAAAAAATGATTTCGTTTTTAAACAAATCACTTCTCAAACAGCCTTCCAAAAAAATTAAGTTCAAGAACCAATCCATGGAAATTAAGAACCAAGCCTCTACTGGATTCATATCATACCTCCAAGTCATTCTTGTCAATTCCTTCTCCCTTAACTATCACACCCAATCACACTTGCAAATTCTATCAATTCTACTTCCAAGCACAGCTCTAATATATCCACTTCTTGCCAACTGAATTATCACCACCAACCCAGACTAAGCTACTTTCACAAATTTCTGTAGCAGCTTTCTAGCACATCTATAATTTTCTCTCCCCCCACCAAAAAAATGTACCGGTACCAATATAATGTCTTTCCATGAAAGTCAAATATTACATTTTTTAGAACATAAATAAGATTTTATCACTCCCCTGCTTAAAATCTTCCAATGGCCTCCATGCACTTTTTCCAATCACAGCTTACAAGAGTCCTTATCTACATTTTTTTTTTTTTACTTCATCTCTTACTATCCTCCCCCATCCACTCACCACACTTTTTAAATAGGCCAAGTCCTTATCAGACTGAGAACCTTGTACACACTACTTCTGTTACTTGAAATGCCCTACACACACGCCCTGCTTCTTTCCTCTTCTCTATTTTCGATCAGCCTTTACTAAGCATTCAATTACAGTCACTTCTAGAAGCTGGCAGAAGTATTACTTTCTTTAAGTATTACTTTCTTTATCACATCAGTTTTTTTAATTGGATATAAGTATATTTCAGAACAGTTCAATGTGTATCTTTGAAAAACTTTGAGAACATTATTTCTTAATATCAAGAAATTGATAAAAATGTAGAATCTTATTTTTAACTGGAAAGGAACACATACATCATCTACTGACCTATGACATGTGAAAAAACAATTTCCGAGAAATTAAATAACCCGCCTATTCTATAAGGCTAAATGATAGGCTTTCCAATCCTGTGTTAAATAACCCGATCAACCCTCTTCTGTATCTTTTTATTCATTGCCACTTTCTTTAATATAACCGGACTCATAGAAAAATCTTAAAATTCATATGAAATGAAAAAGGACCACAGATAGTCATAAACCTGAGAAAGAATAACAAAGCTAGAGGCATTACAAGTCCTTACTTCAAAACATTATACAAAGCTTCTGTAACAGTATGATACCGTCATAAAGACATACAGACATAGCCAGTTTGGCTCAGTGGATATAGCGTCAGCTTGTGGACTGAAGGATCCTGGTTCGATTCTGTTCAAAGGCACATGCTTAGGTTGTGGGTTGGATCCCCAGTAAGGGGTGTGCAGGAGGCAGCCAATCAATGATTCCCTCTCATCATTGATGTTTCCATCTCGCTTTCTCCCTCTCCCTTACTCTCTGAAATCAATAAAAATACATTTTTTGGAGAAACCAAGATGGTGGCATAGGAAAACACCTAAACTGCTGCCTCGTACAACAATTTCAAAAGACAACTAAAAGACAAAACGGACATCATCTAGAACCACAAGAAGGCTGGCTGAGTGGAAATTCTACCACTAGAAGGAAAGAGAAAAGCACACTGAGACTCAGAGGAGCTGTAGGAAGCAGAGGTACTGAGATGTGCACGGAGAGGACTGGCAACGGAGTGCGTGGCTGGCTTTTTCAAGTGGGAGGGAGACAAAAGCTCCCGACTCCACTGAACTCCAGTTCCGGGCGAGACTCTGGGAACCCAGACTCATTTGGGGAGAAACTGGGCTGTCTGGCAGAGGGTGGAACTCGAGGGCAGCTTTCTCTCAGAGGTGCTTGCAGCAAATACCACAGGACACTGAGACAGGAGCCTATTAGGGTAGGGCTGACGGGAAACCAATGCTTTCTGCTCCTCCCTGAGACTCCCCCCATCCAAGCTGAGCACCCTCTGATATATATATAGCTAAACAATTTCATCAAATAACAGTTTGTTTAAATGTATATTCCTGTATATGTGCAGCTCAATATTTATTCTATTTTTCTGTTTAATTTTTAAACACTGCCTTTATTACTAAAGTTAATTTCATAAACTCTTAATGGGGACAACCTACAATTTGAGAAACACTATACTAGAGCCAGAATATTGAATGCATGCTACATATTTCCAAGGTACCAAAGCACAAAGCAATGACTTTCTAATGCTGTTTACAGATATTTCTACCTTTGTTCTTTCTAGGAATAGTTGCTTGAATAATTTAAAAACCGTTCTTTTCTCTGGGAAGTGAAAGATCTGCCTTCTCTTTTCAGAACTCTACTGATTTCCAAGATATGCACTAGAATAAACCATATCTGTAGAAGTATTTCTAGCATGCAAACAAAATTTCTCCAAAAATATAAACAAGAATGTCATCACTAAAGCACTACACAATCCATTTCCTTTCTCAAACAAGATAAATTAGATTATGATTTAAAGGTTAACAGAAAAGGCCTCGCTCATAACAATGAAATCAAGTAATATCTACCTGATTTAGTAAGAGACTTTAAATAATTCTAAACAAAAACTCACAAATGTGCTCAAGGTTCCTTTTCAAAACCCCATCCTCTCTCCAGCCATACTCTAGTAAATTTATCTTACCATCTTAGCATATCAACTTACTTTTTTATGATGGGTAGAAAGAACAGATGCCTCTAGAACAGGCTCCAAATCTCCTTGGTGATTGTCATTATCACCTTTCCTTGTACCATCAAGTTGGGGTCCTTTTCTGAGCCGTATTTCTGGCTCTGGAGTCCTGATGTACTCCAATCCGTTTTTCGCTGTCTGGCTCATGGGATACACAAGGCTTTCTTACAAAGAGACCTTTCTTTCTGTCCTTCTTCTTGTGAGGGTGAACTCTCAGGATAGTGTGTTGACCCTAAAGAGAGGAAGATTTTAAATTTAACATATTTTAAACACATTAAACGAGTGCTGGGAGAAGAGACAGGTTATATTATTATATGCTCAAACAATGAAATACTCAGCAATCACTAATAATGATAAAACAATAATGTATTTTTTAAAAATCTGTATTTGATGACAGGAAAGAATGCCCAAATCCACTTTTACTTTATTTTTTTTTAACATATTTTTAATTGATTTCAGAGAAGGAGGGAGAGGGAGAGAGACAGAAACATCACTGAAGAGAATCACTGATCAGTTGCCTCCTGCATGCCCTACAAAGGAGATGGAGCACACAATCCCAGCATATGCCCTGACTGGGAATCAAACTATGACTCCCTAGTTCATAGGTTGACATTCAACCACTGATCCAAACCAGCTAGGCCAAAAACTACTTTTATGTGAAAAAAGCAGCTGTAGCCAGTCTGGGTCAGTGGATAAGAATGTGGGCCTGCAGACTGAAGGGTCCCGGGTTCAATTCTGGTCAATGGCACATACCTCAGTTGGAGGCTCAATCCCAGACCTGGTCAGGGTGTATATATGGGGCAACCAATCGATGTGTCTCTCTCTCACACTGATGTTTCTCTTTCCCCTCCCTTCCACTCTAAAAACAAATGGAAAAATATCCTTGAGTGAGAATTAACAATAAAAAGAAAAAGAAAGAAAGAAAGAAAGAAAGAAAGAAAGAAAGAAAGAAAGAAAGAAAGAAAGAAAGAAAGAAAGAAAGAAAGAAAGAAAGAGCGCTAGCCAGATTAGCTCAGTGGATATAGTGACAGCCTGTGGACTCAAGGGTTCCGGGTTTGATTCCAATCAAGGGCATGTATACCTTGGTTGCAGGCACATCCCCAGTAGGTGGTGTGCAAGAGCCAGCTGGTCGATGTTTCTCTCTTATCTATGTTTCTAGCTCTCTATCCCTCCTTTACTCTCTGTAAAAAAATCAATAAAATATATTTTTTTAAATAAAAATAAATAAAAAAATAAATTTTTTTTAAAAAGCCAAACCCCAGATGACACAGCATCCACTTATTTCAGGACAATTGCCTACAACCAATCCAGAAGTAGAAAATAGGTCTTCCTCATAGACTATGCACCTATCCAAGAACAGCCCGCACTTCACCTTTCCCCAACTACCCCTTATTTACAGCCAATGTAAATTCTGTACAAACCCCTTAAATCTTTCTTTTCCAAACCTTGTATAAAAGAGTCCTGTCAGTTCCATGACATTGAACATGTTCATCTTCTCCACCTACTGCTACTGCTAGTGGTTAGACTGAATGTCCCAAGACTTGGTCCATTTTCTGGCTAGAATATGACTCAATAAACACTTTCTTTTAGGACAACTTTCCACATTAAAGATCTGTTTCACAATTGTACATGAATGTTTATAACAACTTTAATAATAGCCAAAAACTGAAAGCCCAAACATCAGGAGAATGAATAAAATGGTAGTGTAACATTACCATGACGAATATACTCAGCAATAAAGAAAAACAAATTGCTGGTATACATAACACAGATGCCCCAGCCAGTGAGACTCAGTGGATAGAGCATTGGTCCGCTGACTGAAAGTTCCCGAGTTCAATTCCGATCAAGGGCACATATGTTGTTGCAGGCTCCTCCCTGGCCCGGGCCCTGGTCAGGGCTCATGTAGGAGGCAACCAATTAATAGGTTTCTCTCACATAGATGTTTCTCTCAGTCTTTCCCTCTCTCTTCTACTCACCCTAAACATCAATAAAAAATATCCTGCTGTGAGGATTAACAAAACAAAAAAAAAAACCAAAGCAACACAGATGAATCTCAAAAACATTACATTGAATCAAATAAGCAATATGCTAAAGAATATATACTGTCTAATTCCATTTATATGAAATTCTAAGAGGCAAAATTAAACTATGCAGATCTGTCATTATATGGGAGAACGATGTGAGTGGATTGACTGCAAAGTGGAATGAGGGAGGTAATAGAAATTCTGTATTTTGATTGGGTTGATGATTACCTGAGTATATAAATGATCAAAATTCATCTAACTGAACACTAAAATGAATATATTTTGTTATGTATAAATTATACTTCAGTAAAATTAATTTTAAATACTAAGTAAATGATGCCACCCAACTGGCATGGCTCAGTGGTTGAGCATCAACCTATGAACTAGGAGGTCATGATTCGATTCCCGTTCAGGGCACATGCCCAGGTTTTGGGCTCAGTTCCCACTCTGGGACATGTAGGAGGCAGCCAATCAAAGGTTCTCTCCCATTGTTAATGTTTCTTCCTCTCCCTTCCTGTCTGAAATCAATAAAAATATCATTTTTAAAAAATAAGTAAATAAATAAAATAAAATAAATTATGACAAAGTTTATTTAATCCAAGATTCCTGAAAATTTTGGAAAAATACAAATCCATGAGCTAAACAACCATATTATTTTTACTTTGACCAAATAATAGTAGCCTCCTAAAAAGTCTTCCTTCAATGAATTTTCCCTCATTTTTATTCTCTCAAAGTAAAATAAACAAAGTAATTCATAACCATTCTGGTTTCTCCAACCAAAACTCCTTCTTGAGACCAACTTCAGAGCATAATATTATTTAATACTACAAAAAAAAAAAAAATTTAGAGGCTAATTTTAGCTGCTACCATGCTAAAAGGTAAGCTTTTATAGTTTTCTCCTTCAACTTTAAAACCCTGCCTGTTACATAGATAGCATTATCTTTACTTACAAATAAGAAAACTAAGGGTGAGACTGTCTAAATAATTTCCCCATGGTTACAAAAATTAGAAAGTAGAGAAAAATAAGAACTGCCCGGCTTGGGCCCTCTCTAATTACACAACATTACCTCCCACAAAAGTTTTTCCTAGTCATGTTATCTCTTTCAAGGGAGGTAAACTGCTACTTAACACTTACTGAAGCCAACTTTGAGCCAGGCCAAGTAGTTGGCCTTTTAAACCATCTCATTTAATTCTCCAACAATCGTCATGAAAAGGAGTCTCATTTTTCAGATAAAGAAACTAAGATTAGAGATCAAGTCTCATCAAAGACAAACTTAAGTAAAAGATCCTGAAGTCAAATCTGTATCTCTAACTCCAAAGACCATACTTACAGAGCTTCACTGAAGACACATTAGTGCATTATAGCCACTGGTCATATTAAGTGCTAAAAAAAAAAACACTTTTTTTAAAAAAATATATTTTATTGATTTTTTTACAGAGAGGAAGGGAGAGAGATAGAGAGCTAGCAACGTCAATGAGAGAGAAACATCGACCATCTGCCTCCTGCACACCCCCTACCGGGGATGTGACCGCAACCAACGTACATGCCCCTGACCGGAATCGAACCTGGGACCTTTCAGTCCGCAGACCGACGCTCTACCACGGAGCCAAACTGGTTTTGGCTTAAAAAAACACTTTTAAAGGAAAAGTCTTGGTCCTGGCCAGATAGCTCTGTTGTCCAAATGTATCACGGTTGTGAATTCAATCCCCACCCAGTCACACCATATATAAGAATCAACCAATGAATCCATAAATAAGTAGAACAACAAACCTTTCTCTTTCTCTCTCTCTCTCAATAGTCAAAATAAAATTTTTAAAATAAAATAGAAATATTTATCCAACTCTTATAGCCATATTACAAATGGTGATTTCCATTTCCCAGATCTATAGTAACCCTGAATATAGTTTCTGAAATGAAAAATAGTACATAAAAATGCATATGTACATTACAGGAACAACAGTCCTGAGTGTTACAATCAGAGAAATCTTGCGAAGTCCAGGATATATAAATTGTTATACACTGAACCAAAATATGTAAAATATGCAAATAGGTGCTCTCCCTTTCTGGAGCACACTCTAGCCTTCCCATTCCCTCTCTTCTTCCCCATATTGGAAAAGACAATGGTCTAGACCAGTGGTCAGCAAACTGCGGCTCTGTTGACTAATGAGTTTGCCGAACACTGCATAAGGCATTACCCTTACACAGAAGTTTTGAGTTCAGGTTAAATACATTAGTACATTATTAAAATGTTTTTTTTAAGTGTTTCTCCCTAAGGCAGTGGTGGGCAAACTCATTAGTCAACAGAGCTGCAAACCACGGCTCACGAGCTGCATGTGGCTCACAAACCAGTTTGCCAACCACTGACCTAGGCCATCCTCCTTTTCTCCTAAGCTCAAGGGCCTTTTTTTTTTTTTTTTTTTTTTTTTGCATCTAACTTATTTCCTGAACCCATTTCTTCTACAGCCCCTTTCTTTTACTTCTTTGACTTTTTAAATAAACTTTTGCTTATATTTGGAAAAAAGTAATTAAATTTAATAAGTGATCCTATCTAATAAAGAGGGAATATGCCAACTGACAGTCACAACCTCTCAAAAATGGTGGCGCCCACAGCAACAAGATGGCAGCACCTAGTCCCCTTAGCCCCACCCGAAGGCAGGTCCATGGCATGGTAGGGCCCGCCCCCAGGTGGGCCCAGCCACTCCACGCATCTGCCTCTGGAGTCCCCCACTCCACTGTTGCCCAGGGCTGGCCTGAGGCACAGGCAAGCCTTGGATGGCAGCTGCCTAGATGCCCAGGGCCAGCCTGAGGCACAGGCAAGCCTCAGATGGCAGCTGCCCAGCCAACGCCCAAGGCACAGGCAAGCCTTGGATGGCAGCTACCCAGCTGCCCAGCTGCCCAACGCCGCCTGAGTAGCAGCCGGAGAGATGTGATGGGGGCATTACCTTCCCCTGATTGCCGAGTCACCTCCCGTCCCTGAGGGCTCCCAGACTGAGAGGGGGCAGACTGGGCTGAGGGACCCTCCTCCAATGCATGAATTTTCATGCACCAGGCCTCTAGTCTGTAATATAATACCATATAACCACACTATTGTTCCAACTATTTCATAAATAAAATCTGTCCAG